GGATCAAACATAGAAGATCACTTGGAATTAAAGTCATATACAACATTGTGAAAATTTTGTTTGACAGAAAATCTTCATGCCTGTGCCAATATGAAAATTGGATGCTGGTATCAAATCAAAGACATGAAAAATCAGAAACATTGAAAGATTATATTACAAGATTCAAAATACATCAATTTTCAGGATATCCTATCGCTATAAAATAATCTTGCCAGCTAAGGGAGTGTCCCAGCTACATGTGAGAGAAGAAGACAATAATAGAGCATCTTTGACAAAACTATATGGAGGACAATAATACGGTTGCATGTAAAGACATAAAAGATAAATGACAATAATAAAGAAAGATGTTCTTTGGATAAAAAGTTGAAGCATGTGAAGATGTAGGCCCAAGGAAAAAAATAATAGAAATACAAGTGTGCCTTTTCAATCTCATAGACTTGTATAAATAGAGGCATTGTAATAGATAAAAATCATCTTGAAATTTCGAATTGTAATGAATAGCCACTCCTAAGCCATCTTTAGTTTGAAAAATCAGTTTTTTTGGAAATCCTTGTATACCAAATAGAAATCTTGAAAAAGTTCTGATAGAAATAAAATTTTAATAATTTGATATCAATATGAGTTTCTAAACATTTATTCCCAAAGATTCTTGAAGGATTTAATATAAAATTTCCTTCTTATTTTAGCAAAAAGAAAAGTTTTCTTAACAAAAGTTTAAAATTTTATTCTTTAGAATTGATACAGTGAGAGCAAAAAGCTGAAATTGTAAAGATTCTATGAAGACAGGAGACCGTTGAAGGAAGTAGTTTACACATTCAGAGCCAAATGTTATTCGGTTCTAAGAATAAATATCCAGATCAAATTTAAGGTAAAACTATTAAACTTTTGCTAAAATTAGAATGAATCTTTTTAGATCTTAGTGAATCAAAGGAATTAATCGCATGATTTGATGATTATTTATATGAATAAATGCCATGATATACAATTAAATGATTGGATAATTTATTAGAAAGAATGTTAGAAGTAATAAAAAATATGTAATTTCAATTAGAAAATGATAGCTGACATTATATACATGGACCATTCATATTACTTGTATTCAGTGCAGGTTAAGAGTAGGCTCAATCCTTTTGAGGATGGGAATGTAAGCTTAGGTGCTGATTCTTCGAACAGAGGTGACCAGCAATTTCCAGTTATCAACCATAGATGGGGTCCGATTAAGAAAATACCTAGGGGAAAGATACTCACAGAAGTGGTAAACTTTTTGAAAGGTGTATATGACAGAACTCGTGGAGGATTTAGAACTAATAGGCGCAAACCCGAAGATTCAGTCGAAAAAAATGAAGAAAAAATTGAAGTGCCCGATGATGCGGTAGAATTCATTGTCTCGACATCGCCACGAGGCCTTGCTATGACAAAATAATTTTCACCCTAGTTTGGTTTTAAATCATAGAAAAGAAAATAGTAATACAAAATATTAGAATACATACCAAATTACTTAGGTCTATCAAACATCATTACTCATATGGATAACGCACACTGGAATTGCTTAGTGGGATGATTTCCCAAATGTACGTGAGTTATCCATATGAGTATAGAATACGTACCAAATTACTTAGGTCTATCAAACATCATTACTCATATGGATAACGCACACTGAAATTGCTTAGTGGGATGATTTCCCAAATGTACGTGAGTTATCCATATGAGTAATGATGTTTTACTGTTTTCTTTTCTATGATTTAAAACCAAACTAGGGTGAAAATTATTTTGTCATAGCAAGGCCTCATGGCGATGTAAAGACAATGAATTCTACCGCATCATCGGACACTTCAATTTTTTCTTCATTTTTTTTCGACTGGATTGTTGGGTTTGCGCCTATTAGTTCTAAATCCTCCACAAGTTCTGTCATATACACCTTTCAAAAAGTTTACCACTTCTGTGAGTATCTTTCCCCTAGGTATTTTCTTAATCGGACCCCATCTATGGTTGATAACTGGAAATTGTTGGTCACCTCTGTTTGAAGAATTAGCACCTAAGCTTACATTCCCATCCTCAAAAGGATTGAGCCTACTCTTAACCTGCACAGAATACAAGTAATATGAATGGTCCATGTATATAATGTCAGCTATTGTTGTAGGAAATTCAGTGTATGTGGATAAATTGGGAAATGTTATCTTTCGTCTTGTCAATTTGAATAATGCGCAATTAAAAGACTCCGAGATGAGGAGGTGATCACAACCGAACCGCTTAAATCCCAAGCTCTTCTTAGACAGTTTAGGTCTTTTTGACAAAGTTTTTCAATTTTGCAACTATCCAAATCAACAAAATTCAAACAATCGTATATCGAATTTTCACCAGATCATGGAAAGTTTTATTTCCAACAAATAACTTTTGTTCCAATAGAATTTAAAATTCATGAAGCATACGGACAATATATCATAAATTCATGAAGCATGGACTGTAAATTTAATATGAAAAATTGCATGAATTAAACAACTGAATCATAGAATTTTAACCTGAGGCCTGTGTTACACACAGTTTCCTTAAAACAGATTCGCCCCTTCACCGTCCGTGCTTGAGGTTTAAAACGAGCGTCCGTTTCCCAGGATACAAAGGTAAAATCAGCAGCTTCCGAGTACTGAAGAAACCACTTCGGCGAACTGAACTAGTACCTGAACGTGCAAATGAATTTCTAGTGTATTCTAAACTTGAAAGCTTATGCTTTTTTTTGTGTGTTGAAATGAGGAAAATGAGCCACTATTTATAGGTTAGGCTACCATTAAGACAATGACCTTTGGAGTTCCTCATCTTTTTCCTATGTGGGACAAATTTATTTTTCCCACATAAACTCCCTTTTGAGTGGCACACTTTGAGCATCAATTTCTCATTCACCCGAGCATCAACTTTGGCAAGTAAGTATATGATTTCGATGTACTCACGGAGGAGAACACAAATCAACTTTCATCTTCCAAATTGAACAACCGGGTCCCACTCAAAACTCGTGTCAAAATTGGCCAATTTTTCCAACAATTGTTTTAGGCATGAGCTTATTCTCCTCCATTTCTGTTCATCATAATAAGATCGCATTCAATAGCATATTCAGGTCCAAATTGAATCAAAATATTGACTGCGTTCCAAGCTAATGGTGCTTACAGGGGAACGTTGGACAGATTGATACAGAATACCATCAAGAAGCAAACTCTACATCAATAGATAAAGATATACGAAACGAGATAAACTCTGCTTCACTTTCCTCTGATAGATAGGAATGTAACAGCCAAAATATATCTTGGTAATCCCAATCAGATTTCAAATTGTAACAAACTCGATCTCTGTACATCTATTTAAGCCCTTTCTCAGTTTGTTTAAATATTTTCACGGTCGACTTAGTGAAGGCCATACCATCACATCGTTAGAGTGTAGTGACTTCATCAGCATACTGCTCTGCATAAATTAAGTTCAGCATTGTCAACAAATTCATTAACTCACACATTGAGTTTTCTCAATTCAGATTGTCAACCAACAAGAAAAAATGAGAATCTAATATCTATAAGATAAAATCAGCAAATCGCAGAAAAACTATTAATTTTGAGTTGAAGGACTTGCCGGCAAATACCAAAAACAATTTCAAGGAAAAGATTATTAGTGTATTAAGGACGGATTATAAGAAATTCTAATTAGAAATTATCAGATCTATAAGATAAAATACAGAAGATGGTAGAGAGACTTTTGATTTGGAGTTGCTGTACTGGATCTGAAACAATTTGAAGGAAAATATATTAGCGTATTCAGGATGGATTACAAGAAATTTGATAATTGTCAAATCTATAAGAGAAACCTTCATTTTGGAGAAGCTGAACTCGAACTCGCTCTCGCTGCACAGAGAGAGAGAGAGAGAGAGAGAGAGAGAGAGAGAGAGAGAGAGAGAGAGAGAGAGAGAAATGGCGCCTTCAATGTTGAATGGTGGAGTTTATATAAGCTATGTCAGGGGTAATATTGGTCTTTTATCTGATAGGCCTATGTCCTGCCCATATGCTAGTTCTTGGGCCTTCTATTTTTAAGCCCCACTCTCTCCAAGCAGGAATTGTTGGGCCATGTGGAGGTCCTTCCCGTAATGCAAAGGAAATTGAGAGAGCATAGGATATCAAAGAAATCCCTAGAAGTAATTATTAATAAATTAGCCGTTTACTAGAATTATGGTTGTTTGATATTTTTCGACTCTTTGGTTGTTTACAATAATCAGTTTATGACTTTGATTATGTGCTAATTTCAAATTGTTCAACATTTATGTGTATCCTTGCTTTTATTGGTTTATTAATAAATCAATTTACTGGTGCACTTTGGCAAGTTTGAATATTTAAGATCATAACTCAAAATTTCAATATTGACGTATTCAAACGAGTCCTTTCAAGATTTAAGCTGCTTCTCTTAATAAGAATAACTTCTAAGAAAGAAATTTAAATCTTATTAAATGAGTTTATCTACATATAAAAATGTTAAGAACAATAATATTAAAGATTGAGGCTACTCCCACGGATAAGATTGATTGCTTTAATATAGAACTTAAAAATATTAATAAACAAGTTTACCCACGTGATGCAACGCGAGCTTATTTCTAGTCCTCATGTCTCCTTATATTCATTAAGAGTTCCTGAATTTTAAATATAGAACTTAAAAATATTAATAAACAAGTTTTTAGATGTCAGTGATCCTTGGCCATGATGTAGTAAACCCATTTGACATTGAAGTAACCCAAGGGGATTACTTCACCTCTAGTTTTTTATTTTTAGTTTGGAGTTTGGACCCTATCAATTAACTCTTTCGTTGTAATCGTGGTCAGTCAAATCACATCTAAAGTTCTATACAATCTATCATTCACATTGGCTAGATAAAAAGAAAACATAGAGGAACAATGGAAGAGCAAAACAATACAGGTAATTTTATGTCAATGGCATTGAAAAAAAAAAAAAGGTCACTTGATCACCACTATAACGGGATACAATTCAGAATCTGCTTGTACCTTTTACTGAACAAAAAAGAGAAAATAACTTAAAATCTTTAGTAATTGGTTGTAAGAAGTTTTTTATACAGATACTACTCACTTCAAAATTTTGGACTGGCATCTGTTTAGATAAAGGTCTCGAAAAGCTTCCAAATATGGTGGTTTCTTACCAATCAGTTTGAAGAATTTCATTCCTCAATCTTAATAATGAAGCAACACTTTATCTTCGGATTATATCATCCTGCACACATATAGACAAGTTAATAAAACTTGAAGCAGAACCATTCTCCATCAAAGAGGACAAAAAGAAAAATCTTTAAGTAAAAGCTATAAGGTGTTATTATCGATGGACTGACTGAGATTTTATAAAATTGTATATAAACGAAAATTTTGTGAGTCAACTGTTAAATCACAGACTGACCTGCATCACCACTGTTGTTACATAATCAGAGCAACTTTCAGCAAGTTCTTTGGATACACAAGGAGGGGTGGCATATCCAACTGCGGAAATTGTATCAGGGCTGAATCCACGCTCATTATATGACTTTTTACAGAGCATCATTGCAAGCAAAGAAGCCGTTGCACCTCCCAGTGAATGACCACAAGCCTTAATCTAAATCCCTGTTGATTAATTAGTCTCACTACAAAACGATATGAAACTTTCAATACATAACTCGACATGCCAGAGATAAAGCTGAAGAAATAAAAAGTAGAAAAAAACATAATCACCATTACCTTATGTTTCTCTAGGCACTTCCTTATGGTTTCTATCTCATGAGTTAGTAAGCAACGAGCAGCCTCGGCTGTACCAAACTGCGTTGAATAACTTTCAAAAGCCACTTCTTCATGGCTTGAAGAAACAATGTTGGTGATAACGTCATATACCGTGTGAGAAATTTAAGAATAGGTCAAAAAAGGAGTTAAGAAATTTTATTAGTTAGTTCGATACTTAATTAGCACACATCAATAACACATGCATGGTTATCTTTTTTCAGATTGACTTAATTATTGACCTGGACAAGATATCATGTTAATGAATTATTGGATAAATTGATTTAGGGAAGAGGTCATCGTTAAAAGTTCATTTTAATATGCTTAAATTACTCTTAGAAGATCATTTCTCTAATGTATATTGCTCGAGCAAATAAGTAATTCATGTATCATAATGGAAAGAACTTTCTTCACCCACTAGGAGATTTGTTCAAATTCTGTCCAATTTGATTATGATAAATATGAGTGTACATCTAATCTCAAGTCTAGGGATGGCAAATTGATCGAGCGGCGCGTGTTTGTGGGCTTGATTCATCTCGGCTCGACCCATGAACGCTCAGGCTCATTTTGAAATAAGTTATGAGTTGAACTGATCTCACATTTTTTCTCTGAGCTAAGTTTGCTTGACTTGTGTCCACGAGCTCACGACCCGACTTATAGGCTCGAGAATTTAATCTTGTGTTCGATGATATATAGAGAAGGCCTTCGGAGAGTCCCTCCGAGGAGGATGATCCTACAAATGTTCTCTATCTCGTAACCATTGAATATGTAAGAGCTTTCCTCGTCCACCTTTACAAAAAAATAAAATAATAATAATAATAATAAATAAAATTGAATCTCTAAGCTCTTTGCTGTCTATAGTATGTATGTAATTAGATTCTGGACTGGCTTAATTTGGAAGGTAGTAGATGCAAAAATACTCCTTAGCTGTCCAAAATTGTAAAAGACTGACTGATTTGTGGATTCAGCTTTAATCCAAGGAACCATTTCCTGTACTTCGTTTTCCAAAGTTTCTTCTGCTTATAGTCAAATTTAAGAGTAGTTTGTGTCTCATAGGCAGATTTCGTTTACATTAAATTTTTTTTTTTATTATATGTAATAATCGTTTTAACGAATATATATGATTTAATAGTTCAACTTATGCTTCAACAAACTTACTTACTAGTCAGCTTTATTTTAGCTCTTTAAAATAATAAAGATTTTATGACAACATTTTTCTCATTTTTATTTTGAGAAAAAAATGAATTTTGGAAGTAATTTATGTTTCAACCTTGTATTAATTTATTATTTTAAGCTGGTTTGCATTAATTTATGTGTTATTTGAGATTTTAGGTCGTTATATTTAGTTTTTCACATGTTTGAAAGTTGTTATTTTATATCATTAAAAGTGTAGTTTGAAATCAAATCGAACCACAAAAAATGATTTGATTTGATTTAAAAAAAAAATTAAATCAAATCATTTTAAATAATTTACTTTGAAAATAATTCAAAGACCACGTAAAATTCGAACCATGTTCCCTACGTAAGCATTGCACTGCTTAGTTATTACAGAAACTAGTGAGGGATCGTACATTGCACGATCTCTGCTATAACTTAAGAATTTAATTTTATAAAGTTTATTACTCCTATGTTTTTTAGAGCAAAGAAATTGGTAAGAAGAATGTATCATATTAGTAGTTAGAAAAACTACAATAAATGCAATATTTGCAAAATTAGATTGTATACATTTATTTATGTTATCTGCATTCCTTTGATAAAATTAGCATGCTTATGGTACAAATGTAGGTTAAAAAATATGAAAATTGAAAATGAACACATGATTTAAAATTTCTTCACCACTGGATATGCATAACTAACAATTTTAATGAATCAAAGAAAGTACCATATTGACAAACTTTTTTTACAGATGGTGGAAATTTGCTATCAAGAAATAGAAGCATTTGTCATCAATACATAGCCACAATTGGAAGCTAGCTTCTAGTTTCTTTAACCCACTTCAAAACCTTCAAGTTGAATGTTTAAGAATTATCAGTACCATCGCAATTAACCAACAAGTACACCACTGTCTATGTAAGACCACTTGGAAGTAAATACCATAACAATAGTTAGTCATGCATTAAAAATCAAATATCAACATCTCACTCATAAACAGATTGCTCGATAATAAATCAAAAGTATTTGGTTGTACTTCAAATTTCAACTTTTCCCTAAACTAAGAGAATCACTACCATTATTCATTTAAAAAAAGGTAAATTATTAATAAAAACATTTTGATACTCCTGTAAACTGAACATCAAAGTATGATCTTGTTAAGACATTCATGAACTTCACAAAAAGAAACTTAATCATTTCACGTTTAAGCGATTTCTAAAGTCTCTTTAATCATTAAAACTAGTTTTTCTTTCATCTTACTCAATTTCATAGTTTATTATACTTAATCCCTTCAATAAAATTGAATTTAATCTAACAATCTAACAACTATAAAATCAAACATAACTTGACAATAAGTAACTTTTTACTTACCTTTCAAAATTAAGGAATTCAAACCTAATAATGTAGACCACTTATTTTCTAACAATATAGGCGAACTTTCCTTTTTTTTTCTTCCTCTTCTCCTTTCTTTTTTTTTTTCTCCTCTTCCTTCTCTCTTTCTCTGTTTTTCTTGCTTCTGCCCGTCTCCATCCTTATTTCTCTGCATGTATATATGATATGAAAATGGCAAAGGGTTAATTACTTGCCACATGTACTCCACAACCCATTTTTGTATAGGAAGTCCTTATTCTTCAATTTAATATAACATCTAGTCCTTCACTTCCAATAATATATAAGTAGATTTTCAAAATTAAGTTTTATCCATTTTAAACCTTTAACTATTTTTCATAATAAATTAAACCCCAATAAAAAATTTATTTCATTTAAATCCCTATTTGATATTGACTTTGACCAATTGAATTTTGGACTTTGACTAAATAATTTTCTTGACTTTGACTATGAGTAAGTGAGTTATAACATCCATGAACAACATTAAAACCACAAATCATAGGAATTCCTATACGTGTAGATAGAGACCTCCGCTAGAGTACATTTACCTTGTTAACCCAGTCTACAACGATAGCTTGTGGAAGTGGTGTACTTCCATCACCGCTTAATACGTTCCCTACATAACTGTGCTTTTATAAGAAGCATAAAATATTAATCATCCTTTTACTTTTAATAGACGCTGCCAAAGGATAACAACATCTTGAAGTCTTATACTCACGACAAGGCAAATAGGTTTTTTTTTTTTTAAACTATAATCAACAAGATGCACACATTTGATGAATCGTATCCAAACATGTTTGATATTATGCAAGTAATATCACATGAACGTGCCTCATCGTTCAAATTAGAGACAAATTGGAATCTGCACAAACTTTGTCAACGTAATTTCATTCTCGACTTAATGAGCAAAAGTATGAAATTGTGAAACTTATGTCCATTTCTTACATTCTAATAAATTACTAAATACAAAATGTCCATATAAACAAAATGTAGATTCTTTTCAAGTTTACAGAATACATTTACAAAGTCACAAGGTGGCAATAGAACTACAAATTTAGAGGTGGGTGTAAAAATGTATATGATACTTATTGTTTAGAAAAAAGAGTTAATTCATAATAAAACAAATGGAAGTTAGATTGAAAAGCTATATCTGTCAATTCTTAATGAAGTTTCTCTAACAATAACTTCAACAAAGATAAAGCCAAGTGCAAAATAATCCAACTTTGTGTTACTTCGTAGTTTGAACTGCTACAAGAAATTGTATTTATGTCCTGTTAACATATTAGGCTTGTCAAACTCCAAGACAGGTTAACAAAAAAGAAAAATCTTCTCTTGTAATCTTACCATTTTAGGACTTCCCATCCCACCTTTTTAGGTTAATAGCAGCAAAATTTCCAATGCAAAAATGAAATTTACCCCAGGTTTTTTCCCTTTCTAAGAAAACTACCATTTCAAGTGGATAAATAACTATAGAACACAGAAACAATACATTGTTACTTGTGTAATCATACATTTCCCTGCTAGGAATTGAACTCTAGTTATTTGAAACTATTTATTCATCGAAACGAACCCGTAGTTCAAACATGCAAGGCAATGTTCTACAAAATGATTTCATTTGGCTATGCAAAAACATTTTCATGTACCTATGAGAAAAGCAAGAAAAACAACTTTAAGAATCTATCCAACTGTATGAAAATATGCAACTCTCAGTTTGAATCTACAAACAAAAGCCACATTTTTAACCCCAACCACATTAGTCTCTAAGTTGACACAACATACACACAGATTTATAGAAAAATACAAATGCAGCAGTCTCATTTTCGTTAGAGACAATAGTCCAATCAAACGTAGATTGATTCATAATGAAAACCAAATAAGCTTATTGAGTAGCTAACACTACAACATATTAGATAAAGAAAATCTTATGAACGATCAAAAGATTAAGCCAAAACACACCAGAAGCTGCTAGTCTTTGAGTTAAATGCACGATAGTTTTGAAAAGATATTTCAAGGTATGATCATTATAAGAATGCCTGGTTTTTTTACTTTTTCATTAATCAATATAAATAAACTAAAAGAGTGCAAATAGTTCATCAACAAAAATAAGACAAATAAGTAAAGTGGGGAAAAAAGAAAATGTTTATGCGATAAAAAAAGTCTACCTAAAAGAAAATATTTTTTAATTTTCTTGAAGGATCAACTTATATGTTTTCGTTAGTTGGAGAACCAAGTTATAAACCCTAAACCTAACCTACAACCCTAAAACCTTAAAAACCTAAACATCAATTTGATCCTCCATCTATTTTCAAGTCGCAGTACTGTCCACGTATTTCAGAACGACAATTTTGGTCCGGCAACTATTTCTTTGAGAAATTTCGGTCCTATAACTATTGGTTTATGACAATTTTTCCTCTGACTATTCTCATTTTCAAATTGATCCTCCAGCAATTCTTTGTGCATAATTTAGTCCACAAACAATTGCATGGGGACTATTCAAGTCCTCTATCTGGTAGTAGGAGACAATTTTGGTGCTACAACTATTCGAAAATGGGTCCTCCAACTAATGAAATAAGACAAATTAATCTAAGCAATAATCAAATTCACGGTGCTCAAAACCTAAGCAAAAAATCCCA